TGTTTTAACCGATGCATGAAACTATACATTTTTAGACATAAGTTGTAACGGCCGCCGTTTTCTTTGTGAGTATTTATTACACAGCGTGCTGCGGGGAAAAGCCTGTTCTAACGATTGAGTCTAAGGTTAATTTTTTAGCACCTGGCGACTCTTTTTTGCGAGACAAAAGTCTCTAAATGCGTTGTTGTCAATTATTAGTCCAAGTGCTCAGTCTGGATAGTCTTAAATAATTTCTGCACAGAAAAAAAACAAAAAACAACAGTGACTAAACAGACTGTACAAGCTGCATACTTGTAGTTTTCCCACAGCGTGCTAGAATTTACCATCAACCATCAATTTCTTAAACAGCAAAGTACACATGAAGCAGACCTCTACATACCATCTCATGTGTCTCATCTGACAAAGTTAGTTCCCCTTCACACTTAATCACTTTTATTATTAGTAAGACAGACACCAAGCTTTAAAGTTCCTTAAAATGTCTTGTTAAGTCAAATTACGAGAAAGAAGAACAAAAGAGCACCTTAGAGCAGAACATTTGGTATTTAATAACAGCCTGATATCACACTGAGACTGAGAAAATGATTAATGTACTATTTAATTAGTGAGGCAGGCTTATAAGCACTTTCTGTTCAGGAGCATATGGATTATTGCCTTTTGTGCTTTATTCAGCATTGAGTACATGGTGGATTTCTTTTCGAGTACCTTTAACATGCATTATGTGGTTTGTTTTTCTTCCCTAAAAGCTGCTCATAAAGCCACTAATTTTACCAGCCAGCTTCATTAAATCAACACATTTTCATGAACAAGTTCAAGTTAAATAAAAGTCTTAATGTACTCTTGTATTGTATTGTCTAGATTCCTCTGAAGCAACAATCCTCCTACCACACAACACACCTACAGGAAAATGTTCCAATACATAATAAATGAAGTGACTATTAAAGACAAACGGGGCTTTCAGCGAACACAGTGGTCACGTATACCATTTCCAATTTGTTATTCTTATTTTCTGAGATAGTTTTATATTTTGTCTGCATTCTAGAGACATGTGTTCTCAGCATGCCGTCAGCTGCTGATAAAGTATTGGTACAGGCCTGTGAAGCAACAAGAAATGTGATCCTGTACCACTGATTACAGTCATTGCACCTTCAGAAACACACCGCAGTCCATTAGCAGTGGGACACTGACAGATTTTTCTTTTGCTGTGCTGGCTTTGTACTGCAGCACATTCGATTTGAAATGAAAGAGAAACCGAGGGGTTCATCTATTGACTTTTCATATACAACCTCCAACTTCAGATAGTGAAATGTTTCCAGTAAATAAAAATATACCAAGCGATGTCAACAGTGAATGTTTTAGAGGATTTTTATGCTGGATCAGAGGACCACACACACACTCCATGGAGAAAAGGACTGAGCCACCACCTAAACATTACATCTGCAGGAGATGCTCAGCAATAGAAACTCATGACATGAAGGTCCCAGCTTTTTTATTATATGTTATATATGTTAATGGCAGTTAATCTCCAGTTTATTCTATTGCAGCACCTTGCTTGTATTCAGTGAGCTCTTTCGACTCACTCTTTCACAAATGTTTGTGAAAGCAGACTGCATGGAGAGATGCTTGGTTTTATATATCTGTAGCAACGGGATTAAGAACACCTGAGTTCAGAAATTAAGAGGTGTGGCCTAATAATTTTGCCCAATATAATATATATAGGGTCAGTGGTGGTGACAAAGACACATCGAATTATTGCCCTCTTTCTCCATTTGTGTTTTAGCATCTTTCACCGTGTTGTTTTCATTTTAAACAGCAAACAGCTTAACAGGTTTGCTACAGAAGATGTCCATTTTCCAGCAAAGTCAGTAGTCACCTTTGTAGCATTAAACTCCAATTAGACGTTTGAAAGTAGCTCCTGAACATAGGAGAGCATGTCGCTGCTAAAGACACTTATTATTTTGAGAGTCCCAGCAGCAAACCCCTCTAAATTAACCTGTGTTACAACCTGATTGGCACCTGTCTGGAAATGTAACTTGTGATTGGCCTGTTCAATACCTCTGATTGCTCCTGTGCATTTCCCGATAAAGTTTCGGTATCGTTTTGGAAGATCAGTGAGAAAACAACAATCATTGCTTCAATATAAGGACTCACTGATGTCAGCATTTTATTCGTTTCCCTCTTAGCTGGGACTGCATAAAAAGCACCAAGAGACAATCACAAGTTAATTAACACATAAAACACCATGCATGAATGCTGGCAAGCGTGTCAGCCACTTACGTCGATTACAGAGTAGGCTCTGCGAACACTCACAACAGAAGTCTAAATCAGCCGTTAGGCCACAGTGAAACCACATCTAAAAACAATTCAGTTGTTAGACTTCTCGCTGTGACTGTGAAACTTGTTTCTGTTCTCACTAAGTGGCCAAAACATATCAGCAATGTATTGATGGTCTTACAAGCGAAGTATTAGCAGATTTCCCAGAAGTGGATTCAGAGTAGTCCTAATGAAGGCCACTGAATAAAATGGTAAAATGGTAAATGGCCTGTATTTGTATAGCGCTTTCACTAGTCCCCCCTAGGGACCCCAAAGCGCTTTACACACCCAGTCATCCACCCATTCACACACTGGTGGAGGCAAGCTACAGTTGTAGCCACAGCTGCCCTGGGGCAGACTGACAGAAGCGAGGCTGCCATATCGCGCCATCGGCCCTTCTGGCCAACACCAGTAGGCGGTAGGTAAAGTGTCTTGCCCAAGGACACAACGACTGAGACTGTCCGAGCCGGGGCTCGAACCGGCAACCTTCCGATTACAAGGCATCCCAACTCTTGAGGCACGATCGCCTAAAGTTTATAATCTGCAAGAAACCCTGAATTCACTGTGAGTGAAATCAGATTTTCAGACCAAGTTTCAACATTAAACCCATTACAACCTTAACTGTATGTTAGGGACCATTGGAACATTTTATTTAAGAAAAGAAAAAGTCCAACCTACTGTTCTCGATTGAACAATGTCTCAGATGCAATATTTGCTGACTCCTCTGTATGCAGATTTACTTACTGTAAAATTTAAGCTGCTGTTTGACAGCACTGAGCTTTCCTTCGGACCTCGACAATTTCTAAACCTAAAATATGCAACAGATGACTCGGACTAACAAAGTGAGACGAGTCAAGAATGGCGCCTCTGTTTCACTCTAAGTGCAATGGAGTCTCTTCTTTCAGCTGTCAGCTCAAGCTAAAACTTTCAAAAGGTGAACTTCTCGGCGCAGATCACTTTTCTCTCGACCAACTGCTGAGCTGACAAAAACTTTCCATCTTTCAGCCGATGCTTCTCTGCTCTCCTGCTCCTCTCTCTCTCCTTCACACGCGCACATTACACAAACCTGCACAAATACCCTCACTTTTCTGTTTCATTTTGTCTCATGAGCACAGCGACACTGAAGCTCAACTCCCATGGCAATTGTGCAAGTTTGTACATGAAAGCATCCAACCTGTTTAATTTAAATAAAGAAGAAGTGCTTCAGGCACAGCAGCCCCCAATGCTCAACATTGTGAAGAAGGAGAGTTGGCAGCCAGTAAACCAAATTTGTAAAGATTGACAGTACTAACATGCAAACTCCAACACAACAAGCACTTGTGAGGAGTTGTAATGATCCACAAACTCGCTGCATTTGAAATAACCAGCAGCAAGAAGCAGCTGATAATGAGATAGCATCCCAACTTACTTCTTCTAAAGTGTGTGCTAGCTGATCTGTTTCAAAACACAATAAACACTGCATTAACAGATGAAAATATCCAAGTCTGCAAGGACATTACAGTTTAAAGGTGAGAACCTCTTTGCATGGAATGCTAATGCATGGAGCACGAAAAGCATTCAGACCAAGAAATCGACTTTTAAAGATTTCAAAGCCACTTAAAACTACAAAAAGGTGAAAGAAACATCACAAATCAATCTTACTTTGAGTAGTCTTCATTATCTCTGTCACAGCGTGAGTCCTTATGTTTCTCCCAGTCTTTGCCATGTTTACATGTCGTCAGCAGAATAATATCTTCCCCATTGTGGATGTGATACAAAGCATTCCTGGTCTCCGAACCTATACCAGTTAAGTACCTTTTCCCTTTGAAAACCAGCTGGTACTTCCTGGGAGGTGGAGCATCGTTAAGTGTCAGATAACCTATGCCCCCTCCTTTTAGCAGATGATCCTTTGAGAATAGAGGGATGGAAATATCATAGTTAGGTCGGAAGTTGACAACATCTGCACTGGCCTTGGCCAGCATGGCCTGTCCCACCTCAAAGCCCAACTCCTCAGTGTAGTCTGGCCAAGTCCCAGAGTAAAGGTTGAATATGAGGTGATTCCTGCCATCGTTCCACGTGGGCAGGTTCTGGATACGCGATCTAATGTTTTGGACGTACTGCACTGAGAGCTGGTCCCTGTCCAATGTGTCCACAGCTAAAATAAAAAGACAGGCCCTCAAAGGGTCTGTGGTGTGGAACCGGGACTCTTCAATGGAGGTCAAGATCTTCTTGTAGGTCTCTGAGATCTCGCTGCCTCTCTGTTGAGGGTAGATGTAAACCTTGAATCCCGACTGGCAGCGAGCAAAGTCAAAGCAGGTTTCCATGCGGCAGCGCTTGTTCTTGTAGATGTTGTCACGGATCGCCCGTCGTTCACGAGGGGAGGTGTGCTGATGATGGAGCTGAGGGGTGTCCTCCTGTATCCACAGAAACAAATGTATCTGTTAACATCACACCAATGTTTGTGCAGTACAGTCAACTCTCCATTAAAACAAACTCAAAAAAAAAACAACCCAGAAACGAATAAATAGTTTGCACTCAAAACTGCATCTCTGACCTGATGGGATTTCTAGGTAGTGACGCTTTTAAAAGTTGTCTCCTGTTGAAAACTGCTTTTGAAAATTCATGGCTGCAAACTGCTCCCTCATCAGTACTGACTGGCCTGTTGCATTACTTGCAATCCTGAATTCTTCAGCTGGTAATTTGTGCTTGATTTCCCCAAAGCAATGGTGCTTAGCCATCTATGCTTGTAATCCCTTAAAGCAAACTAATGTCTATGCACAAGAACTTGCATATCTGCTTAGACAGCAGTGTGTGAAAAGAAACAAAGTAAAGCAGTGTAGGTGGAAATGCAGAAAAGCCACAACGTGACACGCTGCATTGATACCATGAATTGGTACTCACTTTGCAATAGCCACAGCATTTTTCCCCTTAATTCTGAATATCGCTGTAACTTCCTTGAATTTAAAATTCTTTTTAAAGTGTTTTTGCCTTCCTAAAAGTTTCCTCTCTCTTCACTTCTTTCTATAACACCTACCACCGCCAACGCTTAACACTAGGCTATTTTCAGTATGAATGCCTGGTAAGAGCTCAGCCGAAAAGAGATGTTTCGTTTTCAGATATTTTGATTTGAATGAAAGAATCTTTTTTTCATTGGTAGAGAAAATACTGAAAAAAAAAGAACATAATCTGTGTTATCATCATCATCATCATTACATAATTCCCCAAAGTGATCAATAAATTATTGTGATTCTGATCTTGTGACCCCCCCCTTACAGCTTACAATCACAAAAGCTTTGAAACCATCCTCCTTAACTCAGTTTTATTGTTCTGTCCTGTTGTTGGACTTTCATTTTGATCACTAAATGCTTATAAATTGGACTTTTTTACTTCTTTTTGTTTTTACTTAAAGAGCTTTCATTGTTTCTTTTCTTATAAATCGTTCCAGTCTACCTCCTGCTCTCCTCCCTCCAAATACGGCTCCAGCAGCTTGGTCGACTCCGGCCAGTGTCTGGGTGGTCTGGATGGATTTCTCTGGGGCAATGGCTGGGGCTGGTAGTACACTTCCTTACTTTGGCGGTAGTACTGGTATTCTTGTTGGTGGTGCTGATGATACAGGGGGTACTGGGGAAACTGATGATACTGGTATGGCTGCTGTTGGAACTCCCCAATTTGCAGACCCCACAGATATATGAGGAAGAGAAGACCGGCCCCCACAGACACAAGCAGGTACCTCTTCTTGGCCTGCATGTGTGCTGTAGGGGGATGAAAAGGAGGAGGTGGTGGGTCTGGGGAGGGAAGAGAGGAGAATAGGGTGGAGGTTCACAATAAAACGAGGTGGGCAGCGGGTGTGAGAATAGTGATGGAACTGAAAAAGGATCAACTTAGAGATTAAAATAAAATAAGTATTAATAAAAGGGAGTAAAAGCGTTGACAAAAGGATGCCAAAAGAAAGCAGGGAAACGGGGACGAGGAAATGACGAGGAGAGGGGTTGCAGGGAGGCAGATGAAGGTCAGCTCTCTACCCACAACTCGGCATTTTGGGTTTTGGCGTCACTAAAAGAAAACATAAATAGAAAATTATCAATGAAATAAGATATCGGAGTTTCTGAGACAAATAAACATTTTTTTTTTTTTTAATAAATAATTGATACAATATTGCACGGAAAAAAATCAGAATAACAGCGTAGAAGCTCTGTGAAAAATGTTAAATCATATCTGAGCACCTTTACTCAACACAATATATGTCATAAATACACAAAAATCTGCCTAAAGACGTGGCATTAAAATAATAAAAGCCCAAGCTGATTTGTACACGTTAAGTTTGACGATCTGTTTTGATATTTAACTTTTTCAAAAAGTTTTTGTTTTTTGCTAAATGTTACATGAACGGCTCAGTAGCGCTTCTGACTTTCTTAAACAGTATGCAGAGCCCGGTGTTCGCTTAAAAACTGAATTGACTGATAACGGTGGCTGTTTCGACATCATCGTCACAGCGCAGAGTGTCTCGTTAGGGGCGAAAGAGTGCCGCTTGATGACAGGTTCGCTACTAAAATGCAGCATTTCTGAAGGGAGTTTGCAGCGAGCTACGCGTTCAACACATGGGCTGTTTTTGCCAGGAAAACCACCTCTATTACTAACTCTTTAGGAATTTCTACCTTACAAATTATATTTCATAACTCTTTAGTAAGCGTAATTCCTAATTGAGTCCTCTCACCTGTTTCTATAGAACACCTGTGGTTCCAGGAAGTGTCCGCTGCTCTCCCCTCCAGCCCGTGGAGGAATATCCACTTCGGAAACACATTCTTCATGAACCCTCGAACTGTAAATCCATTAGCAAATGACACGGTATGTTGAAACCACGTGCGGAAGGAAATTCACAGAGCTCACAGAGATCCACGGTGCGCTGCCTTCATGTTCCGCCGCGTCCCAGTCACAAACTTTCCGCGAGACAGGACCACAGTCCCGGCGGAAAACACAACACAGCGAGCTGTGAACGCGATAGGTTCCCACGGTGAGAATTCAAATGCACACTCATCTGCCAGAAGAGCCGCGATCACAGCGACAGCATCCATCCAGAATTAAGTCGGTTAAACAAGGCGCGTGCATCTCCAATCAGCATAAGCCATGCCCCCCTCTCTCAGAAACCCACAGCCAGAGAAGACCCAAACTTTGAAATTGAAATCCACATCCCCCCCTCTGTGCGCTGCCGCTCACAGTCAGAAATGAGCAGAAATCATCATTATCCCAGGTAAGTTAAGGAGACCTGATCTGGAGAGATGCGTATCAATAAAATCCTTTCAGGAGCGTCTTCGACCGGCGGGAGCGTTTCTCTATGGAGTAAAGCAAATGGATCAAATAAGCATCACAAGAGAACACTGATGTTCTTCTGGGCTATAAAACGAGAATACGGGGTTCCAGTAGCATTTCCATCCTCATGTTTCCATCCTGAAATCCTCAACTGGATCCGAGCTGCGGCACCGTACAGCATCCAGCAGCAGCAGCAGCAGCGCTGATAAGCCAGACAGTAGCAGGCTGGCAGACTTGGGGGGGATCGGAGTATGCACGGGGAGTCTGTTTGCTCCGATAAGGTGCAGGAGCCCGCCATAATTCAGGATCTCCCAGTTTGCATTTGTAAATGTGTTTGTATCTGGTTAATAGAGCGTGGAACAAAAACACAACACGTCCCAAGAAATTACTGAAATCACAGATCACGGGGAAGTCCCAGAGGTGCACTCACAGGACCTCTGGGTCATTCCTGCTTTCATTTTACAAATCAAACTCCATTCAGAAAACTGCAAATGTTGGACTTCAAAAAGTTGTAAAACACGACTTGTTGCAATAGTACAGTTTAACCATGTGGGATGCATGTCTTTTACATCTTGTAGTTGTTTCAGTCAACGTCACTGAGTTCTGTTTAGCGCTCATTTATTATATTTTGAGGACACGCGGAAATTGCAGGCAGTAATTTGAGGAGTCTGTGCGAGTTTACGCTATACCTGTGCATCCTAAGGTTAAGATAGCGTATAAAAATCGTGCAGGGATTAGTTACGTCTCGGTGTTTTGCAAACCTGAGAACTTTTAATTAACTCGTGGAATCGCTCAGTGAGTCCAATATTGGGCCCAATTATTCAACTTTGACCATCTGGACCAATAATCTATGTGTCTGGCGCTTAATTCATACTGCTGCTTAAATTTGTATTGATGCAGCTGATGGAATAAAATTAATTTGCAAAGGATCTAAATAGATGTCTTTATCTCATAAATTAGGGTTATACAGATGTTGTGAGGCCGCAACGCCACAAATGGTTGGTGCAGCAAACAGCGCCATCTTGTGGCAATTCTTTTCAGCCTACATTTTTAAAAGCAGGTCCAGGTCTGTGTTATTCATATAAATCTGGCAAAAATGTAGAACTTTGTAATGATAAAAACCAAATAACTGGATCTTCTCGGGACCAAACAGTACTGGAAGGGAAGTGAGCTTTTTACAGTGAGGCATGTCAAACAGGTTTTTCAAAATAATAGCTCAAACTATTGCCGTTTTGGAACATAAATGGACCGTGTTGAAAGGAGCATCCACACGCTGCAGAGGCTCTGCATACCGATTTTCAAAGCTGTGCCAGACTCCTTCAGGCAGGAAGAGGCACATGTCTGACAAATAATTTAGCTATAACTGCATATGGCACTTTAATATTAATCCACACTCCCTCTGATGCTGAGCAGTGATAGAGACATTTATGTAGAAGTCGTGGAAGAACAGAGAGAGCATAATGCAGTAAACATCTCTCTCTTGCATCTTCTGCTGTGCATGCTGCAATATGCATCAGGTATTCAGACTTTTTTCTTTTCATTTCTTTGGTAAATTTATATTTCTTAGCTCTTTCATTTTCTTAAAGTCCTCAAAGTTTAGTGGTCAGAGTGGTTTGCGGATTTTAGTCTTAGATTTGATAAGTTCTTTTTTTCCCCCCTTCTTCATTTACCCCATTAATTGAAGTTTATAGAAAAATTCAGATGAGCCCCTCTTATCTCTCAACAGCCTCTAAAGCCGTCACTAAACGCCTTGTCATTGATGCACCTTTATGGGATTTTCTTGCTCTGTGGACCCTTCCCATGACTTGTGAGCTGTATGAATCCTGGATCTCAAATGTGCAGAGAATGGGAAACCCTTTCAGGTGGTAACTTATTTGAGAACTTGAAAAATAATACGAAAGAATTTCTAACCTCTAATATGCAAACTGTAAATCTTTGGATGTTCGTGTAAAACACCGCCAGATGCACCAGCCTCTTTCTGAATGACAGAGTTTGCCTCTAATTTACTGGAAATGCGATAACTCTGAAGCAGTCGCTGGTGCTGATGGCTTCACGGTCCATTAGGGGATGATAAATCTGAAGAGGTCCTGCTGGTGTTCGCAGAGAGAGCCAACTTTGATTTCTTTCCAGTCTCAGTCCATCGCTTCACTTCCTTCACTTCTTCATTTTTAGTATTAATCCTGGGATGGTTCAGCTGTACTGAAGTCTCTTTACTCACCTGTGCCAACAGTTGGAGAAGAGACTGTGATCCAGCTTTTGAATAAATCTGTTTTGGTTATTTACATGAAGCTTCTCTTTGGCTACCACGCACACAGCATGTCTTCTCTAAATATTCCGTTTTTGCACAGTTTTGATGAAGTAAATCTGACTTTTTCTGTCTGTATTTGTATTTTGGTTCATCTGTTTCATGTGGATTTTCTCACACATATACAGAGGCTTTGTTCTTATTGTATTGTATTATCATATACACACTATATTGCCAGTAAGTATTCACTTGTCTGACTTCACATGCGTATACATTTGAGTGATGTCCCATTCATAATCCATAGGTTTTAAGATTGTTATTCCAACCTTTGCAGCTATATTAGCTTCAACTCTTCTGCGAAGGCTTTCCACAAAGTTTAGGAGAATGTTTATGGGAATTTCTGAACATTGTTCCAGAAGTACATTTGTGAGGTGAGACACTGATATTGGTTGAGGTCTGGTGTGCAGTCTCCAGTCTAATTCATCCCAAAGTTCTTCTATCAGGTCAGGATTCTGCAGACCAGTCAACTTCTCCCACACCAAACTAACACATCCATGTCTCTGTTATTTACATTAAAAGATCTTCATACTGTTCTTCTGTGTCTATGATATTAAATTGCAACACTTTTAAATAAGAGATTCAGCTTCAGAAAAGACCAAAAAATCTAAATGAAATTTGCAGCAGTAACATTTATAATATTTTTAATCTTGGCATATTAAAATGGCAGCAGAAGGAAGATGTCGTTCCAGCTTTGTCTGATGTTTCTGACCGATATTCAGCTTTGAAAATGGTAGTAATAGGTTTACCCCAGAATGTTTTTTTAGATCCCTTTCTGATGAACTCGTATCTGCATGACAAAGAGGTCCAGCAATGTGGTCAATGTGTGTTTCTGCTTCATTTTACATTTCTGATGGGAGGAATCCTTTTTATTTCCTTTGACTGTGATAGTTTACTAAATATGTTTTTTAAGTGTTTTATTGTATTATTTACTTTTCGGTCTTTTATATTGTCCTATAAATTACTTTCAATTGAAAGTTTGTAAAAAAGATGATGTACAAAAGTATTAATAAAATACGTTAATGATGACGGTTCAGCATGTTAAGCAGACTTCTTTCATTCGTTCTTAGGTGTTTTATGTTTGGTTTCATTGTCTTAATGGACTTTCTCTTTGTTACTATTGTCCTTACTGCTTTTCTTTATCCTTTCTGTGCTCGTTTGTATTCCAGTAAAAAAAAAAAAA